ACTGCATAACTCCGCCGCTAGTGGACCAATTTTGATAATTCTTTTTTTATCCGAAAGGTAATGCTTGCAGGCGGATCGCATTTTTTTGTTTGATTTTTGGAGTCAAAGACTACGACGTAGTTAAATAGTTTAGCTCAAAATCGCGCGACGAAATTTAGGGTCATTTTTGCTTTCTTTGCTTACGTAGCCTAAACTATAAGACTAACATATAAATAATGTTTGGAAGAATTGTAGCCCTTTAAATTTGCTAAATAAAAGTCCGCGACAGCGTATATCTATCTATTAAGTTTGTCGCACAATAACCACTTTTTTCATTAAAATATCGCTCGAAATCTATACCTCATTTTCAACGCTATTAAATCCTTATCCAAATAAATATGTTTTCCAATAGAGTATTAAATGTAAATCAGAATTGCCTTTTACAGTATGTAATTCTGACCAAGATTCTAGAAGTTATCAAAATATTAAAACTCACGGGCGACAGCAGCGCGCGGTTGGACAGAATTATGTGTGAATGATCGCAACGATGTATTAGTTCTTTACTTAATTTCTTAGGTAATCGATTTAGATAACTCATTCTTTGTTTGAAAGCTAGTGATTATCATACTGCGATGTTTAGATTCACATAAAATCGAGAAATAAATAAACTTTTTAATAAAAAACTTATTAATAAAAAAACAAAACCGACTTCCAAACAAAATACACTAAAAACAAAATATTCTTAAAAAAACAGTACACTAAAAAGTAACGAAATAATTCCTTGAAAATAGTAAACCTACCTTATTGTAACTGTTATGTCTATATTGTACAATTATTATTACTTTGATGTCGGTGTCAGCCGAGGTTTGCAGTGATATTTCTACTTAAGGGTTTCACATTTTTACCATAACAATTGACAATTGAAAGTATAGTAACAATTAAGTAATGGAACTACATTGACTGACACCGACTTCAAAGTAATAATAATTGTACAATATAGACATAACAGTTACAATAAGGTAGGTTTACTATTTTCAAGGTATTATTTCGTTACTTTTAGTGTACTGTTTTTCTTTAAAAATATTTTGTTTATAGTGTATTTTGTTTGGAAGTCGGTTTTGTTTTTTTATTAAAAAGTTTATTTATTTCTCGATTTTTAGTGAATCTAAACATCGCAGTTTGATAATCCCTATCTTTCAAACAAAGTATGAGATATCTAAGAAATTAAGTAAAGAACTAATACATCGTTGCGACCATTCACTCATAATTCTGTCCAGCCGCGCGCCGCCTTTGCCCGTGAGTTTTAATATTTTGATAACTTCTAGAATATTGGTCAGAATTACATACTGTAAAAGGCAATTATGATCTACATTTCATACTCTATTATGAAAACATATCATTTGGATAAGGATTCATAGCAAATAAGAATAAAAGCGTTTTAAATGAAGTCGATTGCATTTATTTGACGGTTTTCGCGAAACAAACGGTTATTGTGCGACAACCTTAATACATAGATATATGCTATCGCGGACTTTTATTTAGCGAATTTAAAGGGCTATAATTCTTCCATACATCCTTTTTATGTAGGTCTTATAGTTTAGGCTGCGTCAGCAATGAAAGCAAAAATGACCCTAAATTTCGTCGCGCGATTTTGAGCTAAACTATTTAACTACGTCGTAGTCTTTGACTCCAAAAATCAATCAAAAAATTGGGACCCACCTGCAAGCATTACCTTTCGGATAAATAAAGTATTATCAAAATCGGTCCACTAGCGGCGGAGTTATGCCGTAACACACATGAAAAAAAAATAAAAAAAAACATACAGAGAAGTTGAGTACCTCCTTCTTTTGGGAAGTCGGTCAAAAAACAAAACCAACTTCCAATCAAATCAAAGTAAACCAAGGTAGGTTTACTATTTTCAAGGAATTATTTCGTTACTTTTTAGTGTTCTGTTTTTTTTTTGAGAATATTTTGTTTTTAGTGTATTTTGTTTGGAAGTCGGTTTTGTTTTTTTATTTATTACATGACTAATTTACGTGATTTTGAGCTAAACTATTTAACTACGTCGTAGTCTTTGATCCAAAAATCAAAAAAAAAATGGGACCCACTTGCAAGCTTTACCTTTCGGAAAGAAAAAGAATTATCAAAATCGGTCCACTAGCGGCGGAGTTATGACGTAACACACACATAAAAAAATACAGACGACTTTAGTACCTCCTTCTTTTGAGGTCAAAAACAGTGCCTTATTTTTTCGCAATATGAATGATGCGGGTTTTTGTATTTCAGGTCGAGCTATACAATTTTGCCCTATAGCTATAAAATTGATCTACTTTATAGGAGTTTTCCGCGTCGAATTTTAAATAATACTATTTAAGTACTCCATCATACACTCCGGAGAGACAAAATTTATATCCAGTACGTGAGGGTGTTCATTAACTATTCAGCTTAGGGACAAGGAAATTAGTCCCCTACAATATCCTGGGAATTTGGCACGCGTTTGTTTCAAATAAATTATAAGTAGTTAAGGATCTTTTAAGAGAATCTAATTTTGATAAATCTACATATAAAAAATCCAAACAGGCTGATATTTTGTTAAAATTAAACATACTAGAGCTTTGAGTGAGTAAAACTTATTAAGAGTTTTCGAAGATGTTTAGCGTATTGTGTAATTGGGTCGCCTAATGCGAATAATAAACAAATGAGATGTGTAATTGGCACCATTATAAACCTAATCATAAACCATTCAAACTAAATGTATTTTTATGACATGTGAAATGTACCTAAACTATAAACAGAAAATGTTATTTGTATTCGTTAATTATCTTAATTATAAAATGCAAGTTTTACATACGACTATGTTCGCGCAGGATAAAAAAAATAGTTAATCATACTAATATTATAAATGCGAAAGTTTAGAGTTTGTAGCCTAAACGGCTGAACGGATTTCTATGAAATTTGGTGTAGATATAGAGGATATTCTGGAAGAACACATAGGATACTTACTTTTGTGTTTTTTTAATTCCACGCGGACGTAGTCGCGGGTGAAAACTAGTAAAACATAAAATTTATGTAACCTGGGAAAAATGTAGCTGCTGCTAATTGCTAATAAAAATTAATTTTAAAATCCTAATTTTAACTGTTACAGAATTTTCCAAATCGGTACTTTCGGATGTAAAGAAACAAACAATTAATAATAAATAATTCATTATTTTCTAGACTGAAAATCAGGACCGCATGGCCTAGGTCACGCGGTCCATGCTGAGCCTGCAGCCCATTGTTGTCAATATTTTTTTTACTTAGCTATTTTTTGTGACGATAATGTAAGTCAAAACTTTGTTTCTATTTTCTTTCTTGTAAACATTCTAGCTAAGTTCTAGGCAAAGACATTTAAAAAATATTAGTTAATTTACTAGACATAGTGAACAACATTTTTTCATCGGTAACTTCTTTGAAAGGTACTTTGTTAGTTGTTAAGTTTAGTGCCAACTCATGTCCTTGTATTGACATGTTATAAAACATTTTACAAAATCATAATTAGCTCTATCTTTTTTGACCGACTTCCCAAAAGAAGGAGGTACTCAATTCGTCTGTATGTTTTTTTTTTATTATTTTTTTTTTATGTGTGTTACGGCATAACTCCGCCGCTAGTGGACCGATTTTGATAATTCATTTTTTATCCGAAAGGTAATGCTTGCAGGTGGGTCCCATTTTTTTGTTTGATTTTTGTTATATAATAAAGTAAACAGTCACGAAATAAAACATAAATATAATTTTTTAATGCGACTATTGGCAATTGGCAATTAATTCAAATACAATTAATTATAATGACATGTGGATTTGAGGACCTAAAAAATGTCTCAAGTAAAGTGTCAACTAAGCTAATATTATGTTTTTGAATCTCTTTGGTTTTAGACTTATGCTAGGATGTGATCAGAACAATAGTTGAATGGCGGGGAAAAGCATTTAAAATATTCAGAGACACCAAAATTTTTGCAATGTTATTTTACTGTAAAACATTCGGTTTAAACTGATAATTTATGATTTGTGGGGCAAATATTTGTGTATTGTGTTACATGTGGGTCTTTAAGAAAAACTAGAACAGTCAAATTCTCTCATACTTTAATTTGGTTAAGTAGCAAAAAAAAAATTTAGAGTAATGACGACTCGCATTGTCTAGTTGTTTAATAACAATTTTTCTAGTATTTTTCCTTTCGTGTTGATTTTTTGTTGCATATTTAAATTTATAGCTGGCTTATATACGTCATTCAGTTTCTTACGATAGAGATTATATTGTAATTAATGAATTTTCAGATTTAAGTATATTATATGTAAAATAAACACTAGTAATTTTAGGAGGTGAAGGTGACCTTGACGGCGGAGATGTATGGGAAAGGAGAATATCCCTTTCAGTTCATCCTCTTTTATGTCAATCAAGGGTAAAAACAAACATAGCAGATGCTTATATACAGAGATCATTTCGCTATTTTAGATATTTCAAATAACTGCCAACTGTATGTTTACAAATCATACCTCGAATGACGTCTGAATATTATCAGAAAAAAAAAACGTTGTTTTCAAGAGGAGTTCCAGAATGAACAAGTAAAATCTTAATTATATTAAAAGCACAATATTACAATGGCAGAAATATGATACAGTATTATTTTTCTTCCTAATTTAGTTTATGTTCAATTATAAAAGACATTCGGAAATGAATAAAAAAAATATTTTTGCCGTCAATTTTTCGTGACTCAAGAACAAAGAAATCTTTAAAACGGTTTATACATTTTATAAAGACTAAATTAGTTAGTAGTAGCTATATCTTGTAGCAATAAGATAAGCTACTCATATTTAAATTGGTGTATATTTTTGAGAATCATGTTGTTTTACGTTATTGATAACAGTTTGTTTATTAAATAAATATATGCTTTTAACGTAAAATTTAGTCAAGCAAAGTAGCAATTAAACCCGGCGGCTAACCGGTCCCGCGCGTTGCGACAAACAAAAGAAGAGAACGGCTCGACTCATGACCGTAGTTTTTTCCGCTAAGCCTTCGACTGCGCACGCAATTATAGCAACACCAACACACTACACATTAAGTATAATCAGTTACAAAAATCACGAATTAATTACGGCTATTACAGTGAAATAATACTTGTTTTTGTATTACTTTGAGGAATCGAATTGGTAAGTTAGTTTTATACTTTATATTCTTAGGTTTATATCGTTTTATATTAAGTTAAAATTTTATAAGCGAATAAGATAGTAAAAATTTGAAAAAATGTTTAAAGATTCTTAAAGTGTTAATAAATTTCTAATATATTTTTTTACTATTGATCAGCAATTATCCAAAAAAATATTAACCAAAAAGTAACACGATTTTCTGTTATTATTTTTTGCCTGAAATATAAGGGAATGTAGGAATCTTAATAGATTTTCGATACTGAGGTTTGAAACCGATACGTATACATTCCTATACAGTGTTTTATTTGCATTAAGGTTGTCACGAAAGAAATGTATAGAAGTATTAATAAGACAAAAGGTTTTTATTTAAGAATAAAAACGCCTTATTTGACGGATTCTAACCGTGGGTTTTCTTTGCCAAAACAAATGCTTAAAAATATTTTTACTCTTTGTAAACACAGCAATGTTTTTTTTTTTCTGTACACATACGTAGAAACTCACGGTTAGCAGTGACTCATTGTTTATAAGTACTTAAACCTTTAATTCAAATCACAATTAATATTCATTGCTATATTCAAGATGGTCTGAGGTGGTCTTGTCAGATTGTGTTAAGGTACGAGCATAATGGAATGTTTTACTCCATTAATTATGCATACGCTCTCTGGTAAAGCCAAGTGACGCATACAAATATCTTTTTACCACACACGAAATATCATAGATATTTGTAATGAAAATAATATATTCAAATGACAGAGTACAACGCGTGAAATATTCGAATAGATTAGAGTAGTTTTTATGGCAGTGTTTCTTAAACTGGAAATAGGTATAATATCATAATTGTAATAGTAATTAATAAACTTAAGGACGGGAAAGGAAGACATACCCATCTTATTATATATCGCTTTTTCATACGATGAGTGGTTCTGAATCTGGAGACCCAAGGGTTCTCTTGCCCTTTAAACTCTTTTCCAAATAGGCAAATATAGGCAAAGGATTTGGATTTGGTGAAGCATGAGAATGATAGCAGAATATTCTGGATTTTATCTCTTTTTTTCTGTCCACTAAAGATAAAGTATAAGGCTTAACCATACAAAACTTAGCGTTTCAAATGAATGTTAACTTAAGTATACGTTGATCCTTTTATTGCTCTGTAATATTAGTTAATCATAGATATTAAAAATATACAAATGCAATATACGTAAGCTTATAAAATGCGGTCTTGACTTACAAATAAAGTTCTTTTAGCGTAATTATTGTGGTTATACATATTTAAGGTGAAACATGCAATAACGGGCCAACTACTAACATATTCCTTAAAGGCCGGTAACGCATCTGTAGTTCCGCTGGTGTTGCGGATGTCCATCGGCGTCGTTGGCCACCTCTGTGTTCCCGCCGCTCTTTTGCCTTCTTTTCTTATAAAAATACTACGTTGACGTCCGTAATATCAATCAGCGGCCGTTAATGATTTAAAAGACGTGTTAAACTGCACAGTATAAAAATCGAACTACATTTTATGGATTAATGTACGAGTATATATATTTTTAACTTGCACTTAAACTGAAATCAATAACGGATGTCTTTAAAATAAATACTGAACAGAATCACATTTATAATATGTTGTAAGAAATAAGTGAAAGTTAGATTACATTGGCGTTATTGCGATGTTTGACGCAATCTGCAGGTAACGTTTACACATACCGACCTCTACAAATATCGCACTTTATTAACAAATCAAATCAATTCGTCCGATGAAAACAGTTGCATCTTACATCGAAAACCCATATGAGATGTGACTCTTCTTCAAAATACATCATTAAACATCATTCAACAAGGCAGGGATTTAAAATTTCTTTATCAATGTAATAACAATCCCTTTAAAAAAAAGGTAGTTGGAGTAAAAAAAATAATTACAGCCTTTCAAAGTTAAAGAAAGAAATTTTAGTTTAAGAATATTTTCAATAATTTTTTTATTAAATTCTCGGTGAGTTATTCCAAAAAAAGGGATAACGGTACGAAAGGTTATTAGAGTTGTTAAGAAAAAATATGACCACAGTAAATACATTATTTTGGACATACGGACAGTCGGAAATCCGAATTTCCCGATTTCAAAAAAAAAAACAACAATACAACTAAAAAAAATCGGGCAACATTCTTTGCGTTTAAATGATAGCTATTTAGGTGTATTTGTGTACCTCCACAAAACCATTGATCCGTCCTTTAAGACTCAGCATAATCAGCTTTCTGAATTTGTATTGCTTTATTATTTATTTTAAATATAGTAGAAATAACAAAATAATATTTACACGTGTCACTAGCTGACAGTGTCATTTATCGTCTTTGGATTTCCTTTGAAAACTTTTAGTGTTTAAATTGATGGTACCCACATAGAGTCATGTTCTTTAATTAGTAAATAGACATATCTGTTTCTAATAAATCTGCGATGCCTTATGGAGTTAAAATTGTTTAGAAATGTTTGTTACAAATTCATATTTCTATTGAAGATGGTTTTAGCAATATATTATCATATCAATTTCCTTTTACTTACAGAAAAGATGGCAATGGGAAGTTTTCCTGTTATTTTCATCGTGTTTCTTCTACCGCATGTTTATTCAGTAAGTATTTTATTTTCTTTGAAAGATCATAACCTTTTGAGTTGATATTTTTCAATTCTTATTGTAAGTTCACGCGGTTTTCCTCGTTAAGTTTTTTAACCATTCACATTTCTTTTTTGTCTACTATTGACACTTAAAGACATCGATATAAAAAGTTAACTGAAAGCAAAATTATTCTCTGTACACATAAATGGAAATAAAGACTACATATAGTACAGTGACTGCATCACTAAAAACATTTAAGCTTAAAAATGTATATCTACGTTAATTTAATAATAAATAAGAATAATTACACTGGCAATAATTATTACACTGACCTTAAATATAGCATTGAAATGTTTTCGTTAGCATATACGTTAAAGTGTAGGTCCGTTTTTATTTTATTTTTAATGTTCACTAAGCTAGTTGTTGACCACGGTTTGTGATGTTCAGTGTAGTTTAAACATAGTACGCACTATGTGCCTACTCAAAGAGTATTAAACAATAGTGAAAAATCTATGTTCATAAGTGGATTTTAAAACACACACGGATTTATAAAAATTTAAATGTGAATACCGAATACGTTCGTTGATGAATACGTGGGACTGTATGTTAAAGCCTGTAAGAATACATCGCAATCTCTTTTTCATTAAAAGCTTAATAACATTTTTAATGCGAACGTTACATCACTAGGTAATTTCGCGCTTATAAAAACATTTCTCTTATTTATTTACTTTTTATTAAGAGACGAAACTCCTTAGGGCACCGTCAGATATAGAGATCACACGTTAATGTGCGCGTAAACATATATAAACGTATACAAATTACACGTAAAACTGTAAGATCCTTCTTACACAAGGAATACTTTAATTAAAATTAAAATTACGAGTTATAGCAATTAGAAGCGCGCGCTCCGTACATACAACTTAGAAGCGTCACGGCTGACACGAATCTACAAAATGTCAACTGCAGAGATTTAACCAGCTAACTCGAAAATCGCAATGACTCCTTTAACAACGAGAGAGAGGTAGCAAACTGGCTTTTGCGATGAAAGAATAAAATATCCAAAACAAAATGTACCTCTACGACATTGTATTGCTTAAGTCGTTTAGCGACGAAAATCGGCGACACAACTCAGAAGAGCGCAAAGAGCTCTAAGTTTTTTTTTAATTCCACATTTGGTAATAACGTAAATACAAATTTTATAATATATGTATATTTTGTGTTACAAAAAATGGGAAAAGCCCGTTCACTTTAGTTTATAGTTTTTATTTTTTATTGTTGTTTTTCATGTTTCTTAAATACAAGATTGTTTTCATTATCTAGTTTGTTATAAGTTCCTTTGTCGTAAATTATTCTGACGCAATCTGAATTATGCAATGAGTTGCTAATCTTTTGTAATTAACTCTCTATAGTCAATTATTTCCTTCCTTCTTGCTTTGATTCATCTTTGAAATAAAACATAACAATAGTACTCACTGGCAATAGATGAAAGATTAAAAATCATTTCAGTACTTCTTGCTTTTATTAAAATTGTATTCGTTAATATTTTGTTATTTATTCTTTTGTTAATCTTCTTTTTAGATATTTAGAAAAACAAGTTTGAACTTATATTTACGAATGTCTAATTAATTTTTTAGACAAGATATCGTCCAATATATGTGAAAAAAAAAAAACATTTTATTACACAAAATGTAAAAACATTATCAACGTAATATGCTTATCAAATATATTTTTAATGTCCAGATTAACATCACTGAAATCAATTTATACTTAATTAAGTTAAGTAACTGAACATTTGTAAATAACGCTACAGTGTAATTTATGTTATTTTTAACATTGAGACGACGTTGGAGCATTGGGATCTGTCTGTAATTGGAATGCTTAGAGAAAATAAATGTAAAAACAAAATTGATCGCTATCGATATATGGAAATTTCATTAATATTGAAAAAAAAAAGCTGCTTCTCGTGGTATTTTATAATAATATTATATAATTAAATACTGTATTTTAATTCACATAATCCATGTAGCATTCTAATGGTTTAGAGTTATATTATTGTTACTGAAAAAAAATACACAATACAGCTGCGTTCTTCATCATCATCATAATCATGATCAGCCTTTATCTGCCCACTGTTAGTCCAGTCAGTACCTTATCCAGCTGCGTCGCCTACCCTTAGTCGACGGAGGAGGAGAAGCATTTAATAGGCAATTTCCTTTTTCTATGCATATTTGCTATCTTCAAATTCAATTTCCCTTTTCATCCCTTTCTTATAAAGTTAATCTTTTCCTAAGTAAAGGGATTAAAATTGGATGTCTGGCACGAACTCATCAGATGAAACGCGGAATTGCTTCCACTTCACGCCTGTCTTCTGTGCAGTTGTGGTATTGCGCCAGGACCAGCTGGTCCATTCGTGCGAAGATGTCAAAACGGACTCTACCACTGATAGAGTTAATATTAGTTAATAAATCATATCTAAATCTGGTAAATTAATAAAACTTTCATGTATGTGTTCTAATATTATTATAATTTCCTTATCGTTTCAGGCCCCACCATTGATCAGCTTTGATAACGGAAAACTGGGCGTTAACTTCGCAGGTTACCACGCAGCAGTTGGCCTTGGAGGTTTATTAGGTACTAACTTCACATATTTATAACCTAGAGATAAAGTGTTCTGAACAAATCCAATTAAAGTGTAGCCGGTATGGTTTTAATTGCACAGTTAAAACTGAACAATGACTATTCAGAAAAAAAAAACTAAGAACAGTCCAGTTACACTGACAGATACAATAATTTGTATATTTTAACAGTGGTAGAGCCCGCTTTAGCATGTTTGTTTGTAAGAATGGATCTGCTTGCCCGATTCAATACAACGACCACACAGAAGACAGGCGTACAGAGAAACGTTTAAATTATGCGAATTTTTTGTGGTATTGCATTGGGACTGACGTCACAAATGGAAGACTTTTATGCGTCATGCTAATTTATACTTAGTACAAATTGACCTTAATGTTATTAAAATGTGTATGTCTTTAAGGAAATGGTGCAACTGGCGGTCTTTTCGCTGAAGCCGGCACTCCTCACGGTCAGTCAGCGAGGGCAGGACTAGGAGGTGCTGTAGACGCTAATGGTGGAACGGCAGGTTAACATTTAACTCCTTTGAAAATACTACTTCTACTTAGCAAAAGCAACCAATAAAATTGTAACAATTTCAACTAGTAACATTAACATTTCCTTAAAAACTCATTTTTTTTCTGATTTTTTGGTATATAATACATGAGGTGGATATGTGACATTTTTGTAAAAGTGTAGCAGTTTTAAATAAAATTCTCGTATATTCATGATCAAATTTGAATCAGTTGTTACTCAAGTAGTAAATATAAACTCTTCGAACTTCGGCGAGGCGAATAAATCCGCAACTCTTAATTTCAATGCATGTGTAGATTTATTAGTAAATTGATGTGGCAACGATGTTGATTATATCTTTTTATTGGTAAGGACATTATAACACAAACTATATCTTATAAGATAGCTGAATAAAATTTCTTATTCAAGTTTTTAATATCACAACTAACTTTAATGGTAGAGAAATAGGAGAACAGGAGTAGGTGTAACTTACTTTTGACCACAAGTATTTAACAAAATATAATAACTACATGTATAAAACTTATCACTGACATTTGCCCAAAAATTATTAGGTGGCCTTTACGCTGGAGCAACAGCGGGCGGAAACGTGAAGGCGGGCGCAGGTTTGGCCGGCGGTGTTAATGGAGACACATCCGCTGGTACAGGATTTGCCGCGGCGCAAGCAGGAAACCGTTATTCCTCATCTACTTTGGTAGGTGTTGACGGAACAGACAAAGATAGAAGAAGGCAAGAAAGGCTAAGGAGAAAACAACTTAAACAACAAAGACGCGAACAGGAGAAGAAGCTTTTATCAATGGCTTACTAATCGTAATCAGTAATGCTTGTTTCACGAGGGTAGAATAGTGAAGTAGATAAATCAGATAATAGAACAGTCCAGTACAAATATTGTTTTGAAGTAAACTCACTATCAAAACCGTTACTGTTCTGTCTCTGTTTATGCTTGAATACCATCCCTGTACTGCACTATCTACTACTCTGCCTCATTGTTGCCCTGCCCTCGTATGAAACCAGCATCTTAACTAATTGGTGTGGTAAAATAACAGCGATAACAATAATATGTACACGCAAAAATTTCCATATAATGCACCCAGTTTTTTATTGTTTATTCAAGTATTATGTGGTTAAATAAAATGGTGTGATTGATTTTGTATTTTACTTCAGACCTTTTTGTTATTAACCGCTATTGAAGGTAATAATGTAAATTTCTAAGCATTCTTTAAGTTTTGATTTCTTAATTCAACTAAACTATTTGTTTGTGTTATTTATTACATTTAATTGCATTATTTAAAGGGTATGCATATAGATTAATTATAAGCTTTAATAAAAATTTTAGTTCCAGGCTGGCGGCAATGCTCAGCTTTCTTCTAATGAACCTGCAGTACAAAATGATAATGTACTTCCTAGCAAAAACATCGTTACAAATGAATTGATACCACCAGTTGGTTCATTTAAATTAAAAATTAAAAGTTCCGGTGTGATAAACGATAACGCCAATGTACCAACTAATGAAGAAGTAAGACATTTATTTTAGATTATCTACAGACGCTACAATTGTATTATATGTATAGAAAACTGGTAAAATCCGCTACCTATCTTCGGTTTTAACTGAACAGTCGAAGTGTGCAGTTAAAACTTAAGGTGTATATACAGCTAAAGGCTTAACCAAATTAATACAAAGTAAAGTAGCGATTTGTTAGTCTAAATAACTGTACTAAACATATTATTAACTCAACTAAAATTAATATGTAGGCGTAATGTTATTTCCATCGAAAGCTATAATAAAAAAATCTTAAATTATAAAATTACGAACGAAACGTGTAAAACGTTTCATTTTATCGATACGGATAATAGTAATCATACTAATGCTAATATTATAAATGCGAAAGTATAGATGAATGGATGGATGGATGGATGTTTGTTAGAGTTTGTAGCCTAAACGGCTAAAAGGATCTCGATGAAATTTGGCATAGAGGTAGGGGATAGTCTGGAAGAACACACAGGCTACATGCTTTTGTTTTTTTTATTCCGCGCGGACGGAGTCGCGGGCCAAAAGTTAGTATTTACATATAATAATTAAAAGAACAATAATACCTTTCACTGTAAACGTAATTGAAGCTATAATCGGCTTTTTTTCGAGTTTCAGGAATATCTTTAATATTCAATTTCTTTTATCTCAACAACTTATTCAATAAAATCGAATGCGGCAACTTATTAATAAAACTGAGTATATTATGGCTATGAAATATTCAAACATTTTTACAGATCAATGGTTTAATCGATGCGTCAATTGTGGGCGATAATGATTCACCTCAAATAATACAAAAACGAATTGACATTGGAAATGAGAATGTTAATAAAAACTTGAATCCACCTGCTCAGTCAGTTGATCAGATTACGTACAGAAAGGAAGTTAACCTTCAAAGAAATCCAACATTCTTTGAAGATATATTTAATGTAAGTAAAAACATTATTATCCGTTTACTCACGTCTCCACGGAGCCCAAACCTTCTCTATGTTAGGATTCAACTATAATACTAGAGTCAGTCAAACAATCGACGATTTTGGCGGAGTTCTACAGACTACGCAGAACAAAAACCAATAGCAGCTTTCAGTCAGCGGTATAAGACTTATTATTATCGTTTATGCAACTCACTGCCACCTAATTGGTTAGTAAGAAGAGGTGGAGATTTTCTCGTGTCATGGAACAAGAATTTTTTCTGTAAGTAGAACACGGCGGATATCCGCGACTATGAAAATCCAAACACAATGGATTGAGTATCGAACCAAGACATATACATTAGTTCTGTGCTTAATTATTGCGCCACAGATAATTTTAACCATGCACTATCTAATTCCTATTATAATTACAATGTTATAGGTACTGACAATCATTGCTGATGCTAGTTGTCCTATTTTAGAGTAGACAAATGTCGTTAAGCGTGTAATTACGACATTTTCAGATACCTATTGCGGCACTTACGGCTGTAAGAACCTTTTTGACAAATACAGCCAGTAATACTAGTGTATCTCTGCAAAAGTCAGGCTCAATACAAGCAGGTAAGGCATTACGCTTATTACATATGTAAGTGGAAATTATTTTCATTACTATCGAATCTAAAATGTTGCTAGGAAAAAATATTATTAACAATAATACTGAATCCATTGCTTGCTCATATACTTATGTCATCTTATTGCATATTATTTCAAAAGTAAAAATTCATATTAAGCATTAGGGACTTCGTGCACAAGTCGATGTAAATGTTCGAAATTTATCTAGTCACTGAGTTCCTATATAAATACAGTGTCATAGAAGCTCCTAACGGCACACGTCGTCGATATTTCTATCTGTTATCGCCTAACCCAGTCGCTTGCAATCTATTTGTCAAGATAGTTATGATAAAAGTTGCCGCATCTTCGAAACAGAATTGTATTTCATGAGCGCGCTACGCGATACTCGCCACGCAAGGACATTAGTTTCTAAGATTTATGTTGGCTTGTGCATAAAGGGGGTAATTCGTACAGACGATACTAAATAAATCTATCTATCGTATGAGATCATAATAATTAACTCGACCTGTCCTCAGAAACAGATTTAATATCACCAAAACATGCCTCATCATCACTCAAATCATCCGACACGCAAATCTCGGTAAAGACTCCGAATGCGTCTCAGTTGCTTGATGACATAATAGCGGTAAGTTCATATGTGTGAGTCTCCACTGTCGTTATACCCCGGCATCAACACTGTTGCCATCTCTATCAGTTTTATCGAAAAAACAAAATAAATAGATATAGTTGTGTTACGACAATTGAAATTCACGTTAACATCGCTTCCAGAACAATATCATTATAACAACACACGTAACCCAGAGGGATACGGAGGATTTACATGTTTCATAGCGACGTCCGTCACGTTACCTAATGCGTATAAGTAAATAAAATCATATAAAAAGCGCCAATAGCCTATTGGTTTGACGTACGGACTACCGATCTTGCGGTCTATGATTCGAATCCCGTCATTCGATTATTGTCCTGAACCATATCCTTGCACAAGCCTAGAGCTTAGTTGGAATATTAGTAGATTTATTAAATATATACTCAAGAATGTTTATTACGAAATAACGAAGTTGAGAACAATAGCTAGTATTTAACATTGCTTAATTAAAACTTATAACTTTGACCTCATCTTACAAAGTCTGTGCACATAAACCCCAATTCAACCCTTGTAAGACTTCTGCACCATTTGACATTGAATACAAAGTTTCCAGAGATATTCAAATCTGATTTAAAACACTTGTTTGTAAAAAAATCTTACTAATGTTATAAATGCGAAAGTTTAGGTGGATGGATGTTTGTTAGAGTTTGTAGCCAAAACGGCTGAACGGATCTTAATGAAATTTGGTAAAGATGTAGAGCATAGTCTGGAAGTACACATAGGCTTCTTGCTTTTGTTTATTTTTTAAATCAATGCGAACGGAGTCGCGGGAAACAGCTGGTAACGAATATGAAGATATGTATGTATTTGTATGTACTATTAAAAAGATTTTTCTGATATGTCTTTCTAGATACCTATTAATACACTTGGAGCAGTTAATAAATTCTTAGAAAACAACGTTCCTGCAAGACGAAGGGTAAGTGATTACGATTTTTTGTATACCTTACGCCGTGGTCACGAAAGTTGAGATGACCGGCACAGTAGACTAAAATCTGTGCTTATACATAGACATTTTTATCTGATGTTTTGTTTGAGCAGTAGTTGTGTGGATATATTTAAATGTAAATTTTATAAAAAATAAAAAAAAATAACGTCACTGTTGTTTGAATTCTTACTTGATGTCAACGTTGTGGCCTCACCATAAGAATACATAGACAGTCTTGACTAATGATTAAAAAATCAGTTATTCCGAAAAAATGCGGTGAAAGGTATAGCTACATTGACGCTCAAAATACATATAAATCAACGGCGGCCAATGAGTAAAAACACGTGTTTATTTCAATCATGTATAACCACATAATGCATTACCCCAAAAAATATAAGTAGATTATTTTATTTATGACTTTTAGGTTACTATACAAAACGGGGATGTACCACAAGTTATTAGGTATCCAGGCCGACACGCAAGGAGACGGGCTTTTAAGAAAGAAATTATCGCTTCTCAAGAACAAAACAATGACGATTTGGAAAAAACAAAATAGATAGCGCCAGATAGAGCTTGCTAGCAGCTAAAAATATTAAAACTTTGGAGTACAAATACAAATGTTTAATTCTAAAGACCTGATTTAATACGTGGCAATATAATAAATAAGTCAATAAACAGCAGTTTTTTCATGTTTTCCCAAGTATCCTCGACTGTATCCAGGAATTATAAAAAAGACATAGTAATAAAATATAGCATTTGTTACCACACTTTGTTTTACAGACTTATGTGCCAAATTTCAGCAATATCATTTGGCCGTTTTAAAGATATCTTCTTACAAATATCAATCAATCCGTTTAATCTTTAAGCACCGGCATGATGGTTTGTGGTGCGGACTACTGAACTTACGGTCGAGGGTTCCAATCCCGGCTTCAAATTCGGCTATTGTCATAAACCATATCTTAGCGCAAGCTTTTTCAAGCTTACCTTACCAAACAATAGCAGAAAGTAAAACTTTTACAAAAGTAGGCGAAGCTCTAGAAATTTATTATAAAAGTTGAGGTTTCATCTGAATGCAGATGTTAAGAATTTATTTGAGCTATCTTTTTAAAACGCTGACTCGAAAAACGATTATGCAAACTCGCTTGACAGAGAGAGTGCTATTATATTTTATATAGGTTATGAACATGAACATTAATTTTTTTCTGTATATATTATTTACAGTGAACGTTTTCTTTTTTGTGTAAAAAAATATTTCCATGCCAAGTACGCTAGGTTAAATATACATATCGATGGGTGGAAGACTATTTGTTTTAAGCGCCATTAGGTTAAATGTTCAGGAGAACCATTTAAAGTTATCATTTAAAAAAAATCATAAAAGGACATCCTGAAAACAATTTCAATTGAAAGATTTTTGGACCGGTTCTAGATTAAAATTACTATAATTCTGCATACTTCATTATTTATTAACGCTGTTACTGTCGAAAAAAAATGTCGCTTGATACAAAGGTACCAAGTAATAGAGAAAGGCAAAAAGGTTTAACCGCTACTTGACTTAATGAGAGATCCAAGCAAACTGTATCAACTGTGTTTATAGTTATTTTGGAGAGTAAGGCAACCAACATTCTGCATATGTTTTAGATTTAGACTGTTGTCTAACCGACAGAATATTAATGAACTAAGAACAAATCATAATAGCTCAACCAAGTTCCATGTTTCAAATATTGTCGTTTTAACTCACATAGTTTACTGACAACTTCGTTACTGTGGCGGTTCATACTTTAAAATTTGTTCTCATTTTATTTTTATGTCGTAGGGCATAATGATTATTGGGCAAAAAATAAATAAAAGAAATCACAAGATTTGTTTATCTTTACTTTTAGAAGTCTCTTGAATAAATAGCTAGAAAAATTAAAGTACCACTTTAAAAATATAAGTAATCAAATATGAAAGTAGTTTCAAACATCAAACAAGCTTTGTTTACCCACTTATATCAATCTTCTAAAGACCTAATGGAGCTACTCGCTACATAAAACTTAAAAATAAATATATAATGTTACTCGGCACTGTACTAAAAGTACCGAACGGATTATGTTAATCGGACTTTTAGCAGTTTTAGCACAGTACTACACGATATCTGTGTTCGCCTCTTCGTTGTTTGATTTGATTGAATATTTGCCAGATTGAAGCATCCACCTTCGGTAATGAGAATCAAAAGTGGATTAAATCTTACTAATATTATAAATGCGAAAGTTTAGATGGATGGATGGATGGATAGATGGATAGATGGATGGATGGATGGATGGATAGATGGATGTTTGTTAGCGTTTGTAGCCTAAACGGTTGAACGGATCTCCATGAAATTTGGCACAGGTTTAGAGCATAGTCTGGAAGAACACATAGGCTACTTTTTATTCCGGGAATAGTTACGGTTCCCGTGGGAATTATCAATTTAGTTTTTTAATTTTTACTCGATCATTCTGCAACGGTTCAACATATTTGGCACAGATATAAAACAAAGTCTGGAGTACGCATGGGATAAGCTTCATCCCCGAGAAATGTCCGGTTCCCGAGGGATACGTAGCTTTTTGTAATTTATGTAGTTTGTATGTTTTCTAATACCACGCGGACGAAGTCGCGGGCAACAGCTCGTCATTTATAATTTAAATTTATTTTCGCTAATAACATATGTTTGACTATGCTTAAAATTTGATGTGAAGTAATTTATAACTCTCGTTATATTCTATTCATGTTATTGTGTTCTCACAAATCTGTAGTACTAAAGGTACTAAAAGTGTGTACTAGTACGTTTTCCCAATTGTACTAGTACGGTGCGCACTTGCAGATGTCCGATTAAGTCCAAGGCTAGACTGAAGAGCCCGCGCGGGTGGGGGTGGGTATTTATACCGGCGTAGTTCAAAGGCTGCTGCGCCGAGTAATACTTGTTTGAACCGGCGCTGCCAAACCTTTTTATACATAGCTTCCGACAGTTTAACTTGCAACCATACAGAGATTTTAGTTCAGAGAAAATGCTTCAAGTAACTAATGCTAAATATCAATCTATATGAACCGACAGCAGCAAATATTATTTATCGGGTACTAACAGCTTAAATGACATTTATATGAAATTGTACTTACGGTTCGTAATACTTTAAACGACACACCACATTGCAAACAGATGGAAGCAAAAGGGTTCAAGCGACAGTCAACAGTGGTAGTGCCCGCTTTAACATCTTAGCACGAATGAGCCGGCATGCCCGATGTAACACCACGACCACACAGAAGACAGGCGTGAAATGGAAGTAATTCCGTGTTTCGTCTGATAAGTGTGGTGCCGGAGGTCTAATTTAAGTCCCTTTCTTTTTACCACCCTTTAAGAAAAGGGTCCTTCCCCTTCCCATCCTCTCCTTATAAGAATAAGGAGAGGATGGGAAGGGGAAGTGGATTTGATGGTGGAGGAGATGCAGAGGAAGGGGCAATATCCTCTTTATGTGCGTCTCCTCCTCCGTCGGATAGGGGTAGGCAACGCGTCTGCGATCGCGGATGTGTATGGGCAGCGGTCGTTTCGCCATTTGGGCGGATTCAGGTGGCCGCTTGCTCGTTTGCCACCTTATGTTATAAAAAAAAAATCAAGTGTATATTTGGTGGCAGGCAATTTGTATTAAGCGACATCCTTATCGAAACTTTGTGCGAGGCGAAATGTTTTAAGCGCCGCTGCTTAGAACATTTCGCCAAAAAAGCAAAACGCTTCAAACGCCTCTTATTATAGAAATAGGGAACTCATAAATGGTCTAAGCGACGTTTCATAGAAATGTCATGCAGCTCAAATCCACTGACTATTAATAACTGCTGATTTTTGGCGCTTCATACATGGCTACTTAAAAACGACACCTACATTTTGATTGTTTCAAGCGCCACGGAAATGCTCTGATTTTTATAAAACCGGTTAAAACGACGCAGAAAAATTCGCTGATCCTGAATATACATATATGTCAATATCGCCTAAAATAACGGTTGAAACAAATAGCCTTTCACCCGTCGAAATGTACATATGTATTTACTTTACACCATTAATCTAACATTAAAATGTTCATCGCTTTTCATTTTACAAGTTATATTTATATAAAAATTTTATATAAAGGTAAAAGACTAGTTATCTTCTATTTATACATATAAAAAATTGGAGTGTCTGCTTGTAATATCAACGGAAAGATTTCCGATTTCAGGAAGATGATATATTTGCGAAGGCGATAACGAAAATCGCAAATTTAAAAATGTTTGTCTGTCTGTCTGTCCGCAAGCTTGTTCGTTTGTTCCGGATAATCTCCGAAACAGCTGAACCGATTTCGACCGAAATTTCACTGAAAGGTAGCTGACATGGATAGTACTCGTATATTATAGGCTACTTTTTTAAATATGAACCGATCAAAAGCTATTAAGGATATCTTAGTCATGTGGTTGTTGTGTAAATTGTACTTAATTCACTTAACTTTGCTACTTGAACATCTAAGCAATATTGTTTTTTTACTGACCTCACATTTCACGACGACACATACAATTTTCTAAATACAAGTTCAGCATATTTGCCCCCGGAACAGACCGGCTATTGTATATCCGACTTCTATCTCGGTACCATGTCATGTATTTAAAGATTATTAATACCAAGCACAATCCTACAAAACCATTGTAAGATCAAATACTTGTTAGCATCTCAGAATACCATAATTTGTGCTTCAAAACATTATTTGCGTATTTGAAAAGCGATCTTTTAATTGCGAAGTTGATCCGTCTAGATACGGATTTGATTTAGAAATGAAGATTATTAAGTTTTCAGCGACTATATACTCATAGGTTGAAGATAGAATTGACATGGTTTAAGATATTTATAACAAGGTCAATATAATTTCGCTACCGCATGTATAAAGCCCCAGCAGAGGCAGGTGCTATCGAAGCCGAGGATAAAACACCTCACCTCACCAACAAAATTTTCTCGAAGCACCTCTATCTTCTAGATCTACCTTTGTGGCCACAATAGGTCAAAACAGCGCGATCACGTATACACACATGTACAGAATATAAACCTATACCGTCAAGCAATAATTGTATGATTTAGGTGGTCGCGGTCTAGTAGTCTTCGTTGTTACGTTACGTGACTTAAGTTATAACTTTTCCCATAAAATTTAAAGTTGAGATATGTTGACGTCGTGGTCGTTTAAGTTATTGTTAGCCGATTCATCACATCTGCTGCGTACTACTTTATCAAAGTAACGAGATAACGGTCTTTAACTTCAGCAAACTTTCTTTGATTTAATATTAGTTATAATAATGACCCACAAAAATTGAATGACATCTTTCAATGAAGTTAACCTTAATGATATAAATTTTGCTTAAATTCTAAATGTCTAGAAAATGTAGTTACTTTAAACAATATTAATGTGAAAGTCGCGAAGATTGTTCGTTGGCATGAAAAACTGCGGTAAGGGTTAAGCCCGTGCGAGAAATAGAAAGCAATATCTCTACTCAGCTTTTAATTCAATTTACGTAAATACTCAGTATAACAAAAAGACTACATATTCTAGCTGGGAACTCCGTGTTCTATAGACTAATATATTGAGAGTCCTATACACTTGTCAGACACGTATAGTATATGGTAATTATACCGAAACATTTGTGACAATGT